CACTGGCTTAATCTTGCGTTTTGGTTGATACCGTTGCTTTTCTAAAGGGTTGGCCTCCTTTCTGTAGTCGACAAGATGTTTGATCGGATAGTTTCTATGTGTGTTATGGATAGATTTATGGATAGTGAACATGGATTCTTATGAACGTTCCCACTTTGTACAACTTTACAAGTCAGATCCGCGTAAAAATCCCAAAAACCCCGTTGTTCGAGGACCGCGTAGGTGCAACGAGGACGAGCGGGGGCAGCCAACATGAGCGATAGCTGAGCCAGGCCTTTGCATAGGTCAAATCTTTTTCAAATTCTACATTTACGCTATGATTGTGGTTAGGAATTTGGTAAAAAGCTGGGAGCTCAGTATGCCCTAATTCTTACTGTTCGACGCCATTTTCAATTTAGTGAAAAACATAACGCTTCAAAAATAAGATTTTATGCGCGGCAGATCTACTACATAGGGAGTTTCACGATTTATGTCCAGCGGCAATTAATCATCTTTGCAAAACATGCATATTATTTGTAGGACATCTTTGTAGAACGTAAAAAATCTCATCAAATCCGTCAAGATAAACACCGGGTTATCAGGATATCCATAATTATGCTTGCCTCTGATCCATAGGATAAGATAAATGCAAGCGCCATGGGATTTTCTGCGCAATGATCAGTTCTTCTCAAACTCCCGACAACTGCCTAAGAGGGCATGATCCTATATTAAGCGTATCGGCCTGCAACGTCTATGCAAACCAGATTATGAGCCGTTGCAGCATAAGGCTCTCCGATATTGTTAAGGCGGTGTGGTCAGTAGACTGATATAAGCCATTTGTAAAATGACGACGGGTTGACTGCGGTCTTTGCGCCCACAGGAGCATAAAACACTTATACAAAAAGGCATCACCTCAAAGCTCAACTCATTCACTTCCAGTGTGTGAATACTATATCATACTAGCTGGCTTACCCGGCTCCGCCGTATGTTCCGAATAGAAAATTCATTTCTTAACCGATCCGGACCAAACTTGGGCACACATACACTTCGGGCCCCGGCGGGTGTCACAGTCCACTTTTCGTTATCGATCGATGTCTATTTCATCGATTTTTTGCAAAATTTGAGCTAGGGGGCTGGAGTTTGGCAGGGGGTGTAATCGAGCATGCTGATCACCCCCACGGGGGTGATCAGCATGCTCGATTACCCCCCGGGGCCCGAAGTGTATGTGTGCCAAGTTTGGTCCCGATCGGTTCAGAAAATGGAATTTTCTATTCGGAACATACGTACAGACAGACAGACAGACATACAGACAGACATACAGACAGACAGACAAACAGACATTCAGCTTTATATATAAGATGTGAGCAGAAAAACCATTCAAGTAGGGAGGAAAAGCAAGAAAATGCGAATGCCGGAAGATACTCAGGGAGGATTCGTGTTACTGCCATTTCAGTGGCAATAGGCGACCAACCGACTTTTGAGAATTCGTCTTCCTCATTGTTAGCGCGGTGGTTCTTCCTCATTCTAACAGCAGAGGTGAGCTAATAGTTCTAGGTTCTTGAAGGCAGCGTCAGGCAGATTTGGACCTATGGGGATTTTACTGGAAAGTAATTTGGGGGCCCTAACTAAGCCACTGCCTAAGCGGCAGCGCAGGCGGTTGGTTCACTAAGAGTTGTTTCAGACTGCCGCACTGACCGCAGCAGACTGCAGCAGACCGCAGCTGACTGCAGCTGACCGCACTGACCGCACTGACCGCAGCTGACTGCAGCAGACTGCAGCAGACTGCAGCAGACTGCAGCAGTGCACTGACCATAGGCCTCACAGATCGCTGCATCCTTTCGTAAAGGTGGAGAGAATAAATAGTTGTATCCCAAATAGTCGACAATATATGGGTCGAGAAACGAACGCCTTAATTAGGCATCGCCTCCGCGGGCTGCTGGTCCTTTTGTCCTGCTGTTGTGCATCGTGCTGGGACCAGTGGCCGCGGAGGCGGTGCCTAATTGAGGTGTTTGTTCCTCCACTCACAATATATGCCCAAAAGGCTACACGAGCGAGAGTAAAACAGGTACAGTCTTTTTCAATCCGAAGTAGGCGAAACATTCCAAGTGGAGCAGCGCGTCCGCACCGCCACTGGCTCAGCGGGATAGATTAGAATGAAGGACGCAGATGGCAAAGCGGCGCGAATCGTTGCGATGCGGACTCGCGTCAGTCCAATTCAAGGCCCGGCACAGATGGTCTGGAGTCAAACTGGACTTCGTTTCCGAAGTTAGAAGCAACGAAGATATCGTTTTTATAGGGTCCTGGAGGAAGCGCCGACAGAAAAATGACGAACATCTCGGTCTAGACGAGTTGAACGTGTTCTTTCGCAAGCGCGCGAATTTCAAACGCAAGACTCAAACAAACAAATGGCTTGTTTACAGCGCACAAACAATCACATTGCTCCGAATTTGGGCTATGGGTATACATTATTACTCCAAACTATCTTATGTAAAAAGTTCCCAAAACTTATGTGTCCTAATATCCGTTCCCGAATTTGTTGGTTTCTAGACCAACACCAAACCAACTGAGTTGGTTCGGAGCATAAATATCGGAGAGTTCACATAAGTTTTAGCTCTTTTTGATTTGGACGATTAGAACGCTCAAAAATCTATCACTTAGTGAAGAGAGCGAATCAAACTATTGCCTCTCCTTTTTTTAAGTCAAAAGTAGTGTAAATCTATGCGTTGATAGATACTGCGCTACAATCAAGTGCGGTGTCCTGAACTATGTGGCGAAAAATGCATCGCCAGATTGTTGAGGCCACAGATTTGGTTGGCCTAAGAAGTTTTCGACATTCTGAGCACTAAAATGGTACACTACCCAATGTCAACTCGAAATGTTTTCTTTTTGCTTTTTTGTTATATTGGGTACCTCAAAATACGCTTTTTTGTTGTTATTTTGATTGAATAGGGGGTTCCGTACTGATTTTTACATCAAGAGGGACATCGTAAATTTTCGCGAAGTCATGGGGGACTTCGTTTCCAAAAATGCCCCAAACCAACGCGCGCCGGGCCCTGGTCCAATTTCCGCCTAAACTGAGTTGGAACTTACTATTCAACTAGTATCAGGGTGTAAGCGGCACGTAGGGCAATTCCATCGGGCAGGGAAACAGATTTTTCTACGTTTGGGACAGTTCTCAAAACTGAAGTTCCTAAAGTGGCACGTACGGCAATGATTTCGTTGTTTTCTTTTTGTAGGAGTCGTAGTTCGTTTCTCCCATATACGGTCTTCAAGCGGCACATAGGGCAAAACTTTCTTTATGAATAGTCACTATCGGTCTGTAAGCGGCACGTAGGGCAATTTGATCGGACAGGGAAACGAATTTTGTACGTTTGGGGCTTTCTGATTTTTAAACGGTCTTCGAGCGGCACATAGGGCATGAACTGTCTTTCGGATAGATAATATTGGTTTGTAGGCGGCAGAAGGGCAATTTGATCGGACAGGGAAACAAATTTGTTGTACGTTTGTGCAGTTCTTATGATTAACGGTCTTTAGGTGGCTCAGTAGTCGTGCTTTCCGGGGAGGGATCTCCTTCTGTAGTAAAGCTTCATATTCCTTTGGGAGGAAAAATTGAAGAATTCTCTGTCAAAGTTCTTAGACGATTGATTTCGTTGCTGTCGGAATTGATTCTAGAAAAGTGTTTCTTGTAGTACACATAATTGTTATGGGTATATTTCTACTTCCAAAACGATGGGTGTTCTGCTACTTACTTAACGGTCTTTTATGGAACTTGTTGAGAAGAACTGGTAGAGCAAATTCTCTTCGGGTAGAAAAGTGGGGGGGGGAGGGTTTATCTGAAAGTCTCTGTGAGGAGGAGATTGCAGAATGAGGGTGGTAAACGAGAAAGAGAGAAAATTAATATTCTCCATGCACGGTTGCAGCAGGAATTTCGAGAAATGCTGATTGATGTGGAGTTATCGCTTCTTCGCGCAGTTCTCCTTTTGTAGAATGCTCTTCGCAAAATGTTCTCAGGAAAGGAATGGGAAACTTATTTAGAAATCTTTGTAGTCACAACTAGGCCCTGATATTGTATCTGCCTCGACCCACTTGCTAGCGACCCGTAGAGACGCTAATATATTAGGTCAATCCGAAAGTAATTTCGCTTTTTTAAAACGGGCGCCACATTTGATCGAACAAAGATTTGTAAGAGATCTTGGTAGCATTCGACGCAGCATTTCATCCTCTTTCCAAAGATTATAAAACTATTGCAGCACAGTCAATGAGCTTTTGGAAAATTACGAAAGTCTGCGACCCATGCTTTTTGTGATGGTCGAGTTTCACAATTTTTCAAAACTTTCATATCAATCCTCAGAAAGAGTTCAAGTAACGATCCGATAGAGCAGACCTCTAGAATCAGAGCAACTTTTTTCTCTTTTTCATAGCTTGCCATAATTTTTTACAGGATTTTTTCAACAAAGCCATCGGATTTTGGCAGGCCTACATCAGCCACAATCACATCAAACACTAGTAATTATTTTTGAAAGTTTCAAAATGGTATATGACTCAATACTGGTTCTACAAAACAAATGAGAGTCTACGGATTCTAAATATCAAATTTCGAGTTATTCGGGTACAGCCTGGGGCTCGTTAGAAAATGAGTTGTGATGATTTTATCCCCGAAAACTACACGAATTGAAAACAAAAAACACCCTTAAGAAAGAGAAGAAAATACTGCATCGAATAGTGCCCGAGCTGCTCTTCCTTTGTGTTCTACGAGGATTTAGCTGTCCAAGTATGGAAATCTTTAGCGTCAGTTCAAATTCTGTTAAAAATTAACAAGCTATGGGAAGGAGACAAAGGTTGTTTTGCATTCTGTAGGGTTTGCTCTATAAATACGTTACTTGTAGTTATTTCGAGGGTTGATATAAAAGTTTAGAAAAATTGTGAAACTCGACCATCTCAAAAAGCATAGGTCGCAGATTTTGGTTATTTTCTGAAAGTTCATTGATTGTATTACAACAATTTTATAACCGTTACAAAGAGGATGAAATGCTGTGTCGAATGCTCTTCAAAATCTCTTAGAAATCTCTGTTCCATTAAATGTGGCGCCCGTTTGATAAAAGCGAAATTACTTTTGGAGACCTAATACAATGACAGGAGAAATCAGAACAAATATGAGCTACCAAAGAAAAACAATCGCCAAAATCTGATTGAGAAAAGTAAGTTAGAACCTATGAACTAGGCGTAAATTTATTTATTTATTCATTTATTTCATAGGGTCAGCCTATGCCAACAACAACACAAAATAGTATGAATAACAAACCAAGAACACATGCACAATACGAAATCTTGTGAGAATCAAAATTATAAACCCATGATAGTATGAACGACGCTAATGGACTGTAGATAACTCTTTAGCACCGTCTTGAACTGAGATAGCTTTGAGGGAAACATACCTTTCCTAATTAGTCTATCCATGTCACAAACTGTACGATAAGTGAAAAAGTTTCTCCGCTGCCCTTGGAATGACCAACTTCCTGTATCCTCCTCTAGTGTTGGACACTCTAGTCAGAAAAAGGTTTTGAAATCCACACCACACTCACCATATGCAATCTTGTGCGCCGTGATAAGGTCGAATTTACGTCTTCTATAAGCAAGTGAGGAAAGCCCAAAATCTTGTTGCGAATCTTCCCATTGGGTATAGATCATATTTTAAACCAATCTTACGTATAATAAGTTTTCTAGTGAAACTATTCTGAACTTTCTCAAGGTAATTTTTGGTTTTGCGCGTACTTGAGTTGTACACGACTGTTCCTATTCCAACATAGGCCTGATAAATGACTTGTATGCTGCAATAAACATAGCCGTGTTGTTACTTGAAAATGCTCTATATAAATTATTAGGGTGATCACTATAAAATGGGACACCTAGAGAATAAATGTAGATTTCTCAAAAAAGAAAAATGATTAAACTTCCCAATTTTGATAGGTGTTAGAATAGATTATTCTCTTTCAAAAAATACCTATATAAGGTCATTTACATAACTAATAATTTTTATAGTGGCTGAAATGCAAAGTTAGTCACTTTGACAAATTATAAACTTCGAGCAGTATCTGCGCAGTGAAACATGCGAAACCATCTAAAGTGCTACTGCTGCAATGCGTGAAGGTACAGCCACCAGACCCACGATGGGTTGCTGGTGTAAACTTTCAAATTCAGGAGATATGGCCATTAGCAGTTTTGAGAACAAAGATACGTGCTATTCAATGCTTTGCAGGTGAACGCATATTCTATAGGTACTCTGAAAGAGCTTTTTACGCTCTATCCATCCATATGCAGTTTACCTCACTATCTATCTTCGGAAAATACAGATTGAAACTTGATTTAGTGGTTTTTGTGGCGCCAAAAAATCGCGATTTTCCAGCTATTTCGCTTTTTTTACCCAGAGATAGAAAGAAATTCTGTATGTTTCATATACTGTTTGAAAGAGCTTGAACAGCTCTTCCGAATGATATATCAATTGCTCTGTAACTTTGCGGTATGGCAGCGTAAGAATGAGCGAGGTTCATGAAATCCTGTTCGAGTTCTTCAGGGCGCCACGCGTGGGGTTGTGGAAGAGGAGCGTTGACGCTTTGCCAGAATCAAAAAATCTCAAAATTTGACAAAAATCAAGCTGTCCCATTTTTTAGAGATCACCCTAATATGTATCGCTGCGGCAGCTTTGTCTGCATGAAAAAAGCCCCCTCCCCCCCCCCCCCCCACTTAAGCGATGGCTAAAGTTCGGAACCTCTGCCATATCCTGATGCAGTACATATAATTGAGCAAACGCCGTAGGTATTTTCCACTCCCAGATTGCGGCGGAAGCGGAGCATTGCAGATATCTTGTAAGGTATGATCGGTTTCCAGATTCGTGTGGAGGTGTATTTGCAGACTTTGCCTGATAACACACTCAGACACTTGCACCGGCCGGCGACCGTCCGACGACGGCCTTCCGGCCGGCGGCCGCTCTTTAAATCTGGGCGGAGCCAAATACCGGCCGGCGACCGCTCCAAAACATCATACCGGCCGGCGGCCGCTCTATTGTGCAAAAGCGCGCGAGCTGCACAAAATCGCTTCTACAGTGCACTAGATGTCAAAACAATTTCGACATCTAGTGCAGAATACCACAATTTCGACATCTTCACCTCATGATATGAAACCAATCCGGATTTGAAACTTGTTCGTTGGTCTTTTCTCCTACGATGTATTTGCTTACCTACCATCATATTTCTAGTGTAAAACTCGCGTTCTTTCGTGATTTACGTCGTTGAATTTTTACTTATCTTGTAATTACAGGCTTGCATACTGATGTCGGGTTGGCGTGCGATACAAAGCGGGATAATCTTACACGGAAGTAAGTTAATGTATTCTTTGGAGCTGCGTGTATCAGCGAATTACTTTCAGGAGTGCTCTTCTTTGTTCTTGTTCTTCTTCTCCTGTTCTATACTTTCAGGAAAGGTAATCTAATCTTGATAACTCTTAGTATGCATTTTACATAGCTTCACTGTAGACTGTGCTTGTAGGGTTGCTCGAGATCAGATCAACTCCAGCGGAGCAGAACCAGGGCCGTCAAGGGCAGTCGCAGGTAGTTTGCAGATTTTGCATTCAAAATATCCTGATTCTGTGAGTCCGCTATCGAGCATAGGCGCCTTTTGCATCGTCCTTTTGTTCGAAACCTTTGAATGCTTTCTTCGATAGTGGATTCACTCCTCCTCAACCCTCATATGCATTGTTCGATCTAATCTTAATCTCTTTCTGAGTGTTTTTGCAAATCTTTCTCTTTCTCTCATCTCCTGTATCCAAATAAAAATGAGGGGCTTTTTGCAAACTGCCCTTCAATGATCTCTTGTCTTTTTGTCTAAATATCCTTAGCAGCAACCCAATAGGTGGCAGTTTAGCGCTATTAGGGGCTCCCCAAACTCGATTGGTGATCGATCTTCACAATTATGATCTCTTGTTGCTATGATTATGACCTGCTAAAATGATCTGCAATTCTGATCTGCTCGTGCAATAATGCCTTACTGTAGAGTTATGGTAGTTTGCGGCGTTTGAATAGACACTTTTTGAACATGCTTTTTACTTTATATGTGATTGTTATGGTGAACCATAATTTGTGTGCAGAAGCGCCACTACCAGCACCTTTGCATTGACTAGCCCATTCTAAGGCAAGGAGACTTGACAAAGACAACTTGACAAACATATATCTCGGGGCGGGAGCGTGTCATAGGCTACTATTCGTTATCGATTAATACCGATTTTTTCGATTTTTTTGCAAAGTTTGAGCTACGGTGCTGGGAGTTGGCGCAGGGGGGTAAGTGAGCATGGGGATTCCGAATACGATATAAGTTTCTAGAATTATCGACTACTTTTATCGATTTTTTCGATTTTTTGCAAAGTTTGAGCTACGGGGCTGGGAGTTGGCGCAGGGGGTAAGTGAGTATGGTGATTCCGAATACAACACAGAAAACGGGAAATGAAGTGTAGAAGTGGGCACAGGGAAAGGCTGTACAGGGATAGGGACGGGACCTATATCACAGTGTTTTGACAGGGCCGAGCGGAGTCGGGTAAGCAAGCTAGTCATACAAATATTTCTTCGTGTCCATCACAGACGCCAGTTTACCATTTTGACTCGTTATCTTTATGCTGCGAACTGTATTGCGGCGCCGAAAGAAATACGCCCATAATCGCTTGCCACGCATGCGAAAGAAATGTGAAAAAGAAATGAAAAGCGTAGAGACAACTTTTATAGAAACTTATAGGTATATTTTAGACATGGAAAACATTCGACGAGGACTAGTCCTACACCAAGTAGCACCACAGGAAGTCGAAAACGCCGCTGAGGCAGAAGAGAGGGAAATTAAAGAGAAGAAGACATCGTAATTATCGAAGAACCTGGACCACATGAAGGCGAAGAAGAAGCAGAAGAGCAGAATGAGAGAATGAGACGAGAGCTTCACACTCAATGTCTCCAAACGCAACAAGCCATAACTGATTTACGCATGCTCACTGAAGAATTGGAACAGCGCCCGACCTGCGCCCCACGGCGCATTCAACAAAGAGTCGTCCACCGAGAACGTGAAAGACATTTGCGCTGCGCCTTCTGTAACGCCGCCGGCCAGCACTACTCGGACTCCTGCCCCCAGGTCCGGAACGCGGATTCAAGGAGGCGTACTTTGGACGCGGAACGACGCTGCCACATATGCTTCAAGGTCCTTTCAATCGTTTGTCCTGGGGGCAGGTGGTGTAGGAATTGGGTCAACCCGTGCTACCATTGCCGAACCTATGGACATCATCCCGCTGTGTGCGAATTACCAGAAAGAAGCGAGGTAGTACGGGGACGCTTGGAGCGCGCACGGGAAGCCATCCGCTCCGCTGAAAACAGACTCGAGCGCCTACGCGAGGAACTACGGATGTTTCCGGATAACTGAGGTGGGGCGGGAGTACCGCGGCAACGCGATTTTCCCCGAAGTTTCTCATGCATTTTGCTTCCCATGAATTGAGTTATCTAGTAAACTTATCATTACAGAAGGCAACGTCGAGACGATCCCTCGGCTGGATCACGCATTTTCACTTTATCCTTTGTGCCAGCTTTTCGCTTACTTTTGAGTGCGCATCCCTTCTTGAACTGCCAAGAAACAACAACATAAACTCCATTTTCGATTCTCATTGTATCCCAGGGCGTCCTTCGTGATAATAATTTTACTTGCCTTTACGTTGTATCTTTTATGTGACATATCTCATGATCTAGCGTCCATCTTCATAATGATCTCCCTTGCCTTTACGTTGTATCTCTTATATGACATATCTCATGATATGAAAGTTTTTTTGCTCAAATATCCCATATTTTGCCATACTTTGCCATATTTTTGCCATATTTCGCCACAATCATCTAGTGCAATTCTTCTGTAATCGATGCTATAATCCAACAAACTTTAGTGTAAACTGTTTTCTCCTACGATGAAGTTGCTTACTTACTGTCATATTTCTAGTGTGCAACTCACGTTGTTTCGTGATTTCTCAGACACTTTTTCCGACGGCCCGCGCGCTTTCATGAGCCTACCGTGCGAGCGGCGCGCCTAGATCTGTGGGCGTGGCATCGTTTCCGACGGGCGGCGCGCCATCGAAAACTGCCGTGCGAGCGGCGCGCCTTGCCTTCGACGGGCGGCGCGCCATCTTGAGT